TGACTAGATTATTCTACTAAACAACCCTGTATTCATTTCACTGGGCTCATCATAAATTTAGTCCAGATACTGTGATCCACTGGTCCACATCAGGTGGCCCTATCTGAGTCATGCCCTTTCCCTGAGGTTCAGGATAAATACTATTTAATTTTCTTGTTCTTTTTTAAGAACTACCAGAAGGCAAGTGAAAAGGATGTAGAAGTGCCCATGCTAGGCTCTGCAAACTGTCCTGTCAATACAACTAATCTCTTGAATCAAGTAAGTGACCCTGCTGCCCCTCCTTTGTACTATTGATAAATTTTTTCCAGTGAGATATTCTTATCCCACTCTATTCTTGTTTTTCTGGTGCAGGTTCCCCTGCTTTGTCTCAGCAGAGTGATAACAGCCCATCTCATATCTTGGTGCTACCATGGACTAGTGCTGGACTCCATTTTGTCATCTATTTCTGTTTATTAGATGGAATCCCCACAATGGTTCATGTCTGGACCATACTTCCAAACCACACTTTGGACATATCCTGGCACCATATCACTGGTTCTTTGGGCACTCATGGGATTGACTCTGCCTCCACTGGACCCAGACTCTGATTACGGACCTCTGCTTGGAATTCACCACTTTTTCCTCTTTGTTCCTTTTACCCACCTGTGCAAACCCTCCTATGCCCCCACCAGCTGTGTCCAGTGTTAGTGTCTGGAAAAGGAGAACTAAACTTGACGCAGTCTAATTATATTAGTTTTTTTTTTTTTGTCTTTTTGAGACAGGGTCTCGCTATGCAGTTCAGGCTGTCCTTGAGCTCACTTTGTAGCCTAGGCTGGCCTCGGACTCACAATGATCCTCCTGCCTCAGCCTCCTGAGTGCTGGGATTACAGGCATGCACCACCACGCCCAGCTCTAATTATATTAGTTGCTATTATACAGCCCGAGGCTCATACACTAAGATAGCCATAGTGCTTGCCTATTAGTGGTGAGACTATAGCTTTAAAAATTCTCTTCTTATTTTTTATGTTAAATTTAAAAATGAATATATTCTTCTTGTCATAGGAAAAAAACCTAAATTTATTTTTAATTAAAAATATAGCAATTCCTCACTTTCAACAGTGGAAAGTAATGGCATGCATTCAAGATTTTTAATATTAAAATTTCCACAACTCAGAAGTAATTTGGAGATAACATTACTTAGCTGTGATTAGGAGAAGGAAAACATTTCAGGCATTCTGAAGAAGTAGGTGTTATTTTTATCATTTTGCCTTGCTTTATTTCCATTGCCATATGCACAGCTCCAAGGGAAAATTGGTTTTGATGTTTGAACTTCTGGAGTGCATCTTAAGTGAAATAAATAGGTGTAGCTGCTGGAGAGAACTCAGAATTTGAATACATCGTCCAGTTTGGAAAACAGTCCTGTAATGGGAGAGTGCATACTGCTGTCTGGAGACTTCATTTGCAGCACTTTCGCAGCACACACACAGTTTGGATGGGGTTCATATGCCAAGGTGGAGGATGAATGATATCCACACCCAAAATAAATCAGGCAGGAGGACAAGGTTTGAATTTTAATATATATTAAAAATGTTGCCCACTTTAAGGCTGCATTTGAAAAGCAAACAAAGATAAAGGTAATATTTGAAGGTCTGTTTTATTAGGAAATGTTATAGTGCAATAAAATTTGACATCTGTTTTGGGCAGTAGCTAGAGACCACTTACCATGAGTTTATCTTTGGAAATCCATGGAATGGTGGGATTTTAAGAGCATGGATTCTGGAGCCAAACTCCCTGGGCTTCACCCTGTCTGTCACATGCCAGCTGAAGGACTCTGGGCCCAGTGCCTCAGTTTCTTCATCTATGAAACACGTACAGTAACAGACACTCATAGGGTTGTTATGTGGTGTATTCTTTGGCTAACTAGGTAGATGAGGAATTGCTGGGGATTACAAAATGGCAGATGTTTGGCTAACCCAGTAGTTATTCTCAGTCTCTTTTATCTCAGGCTTTTCACACTCGAGACAGGAAAACCTAATATTTGCTCTTTATTTGCCCTTGCAGCTAGAGAGAGCCTCCCATAGTTCTAGCCAATGGACATAAATGAATGCTGTAAGACAATTTCTTGGGATGATTTGCTTTTTCTATGTAAGGAACAATTGCAATCAGCCCTGCTTGCCCCTTTTGTTGCCTTGTACATGGATGTGATGCCTAGAATGACAACTGACATTTATCAACCATGAGGTCACACTCTAGTGGGAAGCCAAGAGAACCTGAGAGATGCAAGTCCTACATCTTATGCTGTAGAACCAGTTGCCAGAACCTACACATCATTAGACTGGTTGCATGTAAGCCTTAGTAGATCAGGCTTTCTGCTATTTACAGTTGAAAATACTCTTTTTTTGGTTAGTGTACAGAAGTGTATTCATTTCACTTATTTTTTATTATTGTTGGCACATGTTTGCAGTACTGATACAGATGGCAAATACTTCCTTGTTATTGTAATTCTTTCTGTCCTAGTGCTGCGTTTTCCAAAACATGGTTTTAGGAACACTTGCATTAAAGTTACTTTGGGCTCTGGGGAATGATTCAGAAATTCCTGGAAATGGGGATCTTTGCTTTGCATGGTAAACAGGTTTCCTAAGTGATCCTGATGCATGTTATTCTTGGGAAATCTTCATCTTTTCCTGGAAAATTCCTGGGTATGTACTAAGTGCTAAGCACTGCATCAGACACTGTGGATGTAAAGATGGATGAAACAACTTTGCCCTTGAAAAGCTTGTGTTCTGATGGCAATTGTGGCTCAGGGTGGTAATTTTTGGAAAGAAGAGTGTTAGTGAATCAATAGGTTGGTCTTCAATAGGTTCAGATTCTACTGGAGTAGAATCTCCAGTAGGTCTGGAGATTAAGAACTATCTGTAGCAAAATGATATTTCAATCCTGGTTTTAGTCAGTTAGCTGTTTTTTCATCTTGCTAATTTGAGTCCAGTAGATTTCCTTTCTATATCTGTGCATCTAGCATTTTAAATAGTATTATTTTGACTTTAATAACATTTTAGGATAGCACATTTTATACAGCTAATACCACTGAGCTAGTTCAATAACTTAATCGATTTTATTTTCAAAACAGTTAAAATTATCCATTATTTTCTATTTTTACTATGATTTTTACCAAAATTATTTTAATTTGGAGCAGCTCTTTCTTGTGGAAAAGTTATAGGGCCAATTTATACTTGTTGTGTCATCTTATTTTGTGGTCATTATGCCAGCTAAGTCCAGCTTGCCCAGTTACAGTGTTAAAGGTCCCAACTGAGTTAAGAGGGTTGAGGTGACTCTCAAATTAATACCATGTGAAGTTTCCACTGTGGCTAATTTCATACACTTTTGATTAAAATTTCCCCAGGTCAGTTGTTAATTTTCAACACAATGTGATTCTTTAGTCATTTTAAAAATGTTAAAATGTTCTATTTAAAATGTCATCTTAAAAATGTTAAATGTTCTATTTTTAGTTTTTGTTTATTGGTTATTTTGAGTTGATTATTTGAACCAATAATGCTACATATTTCATAAAATTTAAGAGTTTTTATGTATTTTTTCTTATCTACTCTGTGAGAAAATTGGAGCAGCACTTCTCATGCAGTCCACAATTCAGCTGGCAGGCAGCAGAGGTGTATTATTTTGAGAATCTAATTATTCTATTTGCTTTACATCATTTTACATTCTGAGTACCAAAGATCCAGCCTTTGCAGATAGAAGAGTAATAATGATGCCAAATGGCTGTGAGTCAATGAGGGAAGAGCATGCGTTGCATAGTTCAAGTCATGGGGAGGGAGTAGGGGGTGGGTGTAGAAGCCAGGTTGCTGAGCCACTGTGGGTACAATAGCAGCTAAGACAATGAGTAAGAACTATATGCCTAAAGCGGCCTGGCTGGGAAGAAGAGGAGAAACATAGATAGGAGCTAAGAACTGGAATGTTGTAAGTTAATGTGGACTTGACATGTTGATGGGCTAATGGGAAAGTATCAGTTGTAAAGGAAATACTGAAATGCAAGAAAAGAGGACTATAGGCAGAAGGATATCCATGAAGAAACATGAAGCAACAGGAACAGCAGCATGGGCGAGAGCTGGCTTTGTGTTGAGGGGAAGGAGATTAAAATTGGTGGAGTTGTAGGTAGAATATCTTTCTCTGTGAGGCGGGAGGCTATGTAGTCTACTGAGTTGGTAAGGGTAGTTGAGGGCTGGGCTGCTAGTGGGCTTGGAAACTTTTGCTTTGGTTTGTCAAGTAGGCTTCGTGAGCAAACTTCTGGTAATCCCACTATCTGTCATTTGGGGATCTTTTCCTCTGTTGGTCATAGAATTTGGCATGTGACCAAACTGAGTTATTTCAGAACAGGGGAAGCCTGCTATGAGTAACTGAATAGAATCAGGAAGCCATTTTGGGTCATATTATTATATGGCTGTCAATACCCATTGTAAAGCAAATGTTACGGAGGCAGTTGCATATGTACATGGGGAGCTCAAGGGAGCGGTCAGACTCATCTGAATGAAAGGCATTCTGTGACTTAGACCTGGATAAAATCACGTAGTGAGAAATCTCCATTAGTTGGAGAGAGGGCTAAACAACGAGTAGTAGGACATCACTAAGCACTCAAGAATGAGGGATAGGAGAACGAGAGTGTTGGCTGTGAATAAACTCGGAAAGTACGGGTTTGTGGAAGGCACGTGCAGAAAGTGAAGCAGGAATGATCAGCTCTGACAGGGAAAGTGAAGTACGCTGAGGCTCGCCCTGAGGGCTGGACCTGGCAAGGGGGAAGTCATTGCTTCAGTGAGAGCATTTTTATTGGAAAGGAGAGAGTGAGTTGAAGAAAAGGAGATGGAACATATTAATATTTTGAGGAAGGGAGCAAAGGGGAGCAGAAAAATTAAGCAATAGGCAACAGAAGGATGGCACACGGTAGAGTTTTGCGTTTTTTTTTTTTTTTTAATTAAGGCATTATTACAGCAGGCACAGATGACAGGGATCATTCCATGGAAAGGAAAAATTAAAGATGTAAGATGGAGAAGAAATAACTGTAATGGCAAAGACCTTGAGAGGGTGTGAGGGGTGGAAGCAATGTTTAGTGGAGAGTTGGAAAGTGAGTAGAATTAGGGTTTGTGTGTCTTTTCTCCCTGAGATAAACCAGGAGAAGGCTAACAAATGAGCTGTTCTTGTAGCTGGTCAGAGACACGTGTTTGGTTTTCTCTGGTTGATCCTAAGTTGGAAGCAGAGTCAAAAAATGAAGGAAGGTGGAAATCTTTGACCAAGTCTGACCTTGTGGGCTGATGGCTGCAGAAATTGTGTTTTAGCATCCTGGAATGGCTGCTGCAGAGGTTGTGAATCAAATCTCTTTCTGTATAAGCCTTGTGTGGATATTCAGTCTCCCAAGGCTTTCTTGTTTCAGCCACTTGGTGTTGTGTATCTGTTGCTTGCAACTGAAAGAATGCTGACTGCTACAGAGAGAGCAGTTTGTGAGCAATTTGAAAATGATCCTGGAGGTGCGAGGCTGGGTGAGGAAGCCAAGGCAATCAAATGATGACAATCACCACTTTTGACTACTTTTTACCAGGACCCTTCACAAACCATTGAATCCTCAACAGCCTATGCTTGAAGGTTTTCCACTTTTTAGGTGGGGAAATAGCCTCACAGGAGGCAAATATGTTGCTGAGCCATCGATTCAAATTGGAGTCCTCTGTTTTGAGATCCAAATTATCTGCTCTCAGGTCATCCTACTTTGGGTTGAAATGGAAATAACATTCTCTCTAGTCACCAGCAGGCAACCACCATGTGAAGCTACTCAGAAAGACACCTACATATTGTCCTCATATTTACTGCCTTATACAGGCTCTTAAGGACATCAAGCAATCCTTTTGGGCTGATTTACCAGGTCGGCATCTACTTTGTGACTGTGACTGTGTTACGCGTGAAGTGAATTGTCAATATTTGCCTACGTGTTTTTGTCGTCCTCAGTAGCATTTTCAAGTCACACAGTGTTAAAAAGATGAGTCGCTGATGTTAATATTGACTGTACATATAATTTTTCTGTTCAAATTTGTCCATAAAGGTCACATTTTATGGTCCAACGATGTCATCTTGATTCCTTTCTTGTAAAATCAATACCTTCTTATGCTGTGATATATATTTATAAAATTTTAAACAATTATTCACAATGGAAGGTGAAATATCTGTTTTTGTTTAAGTATTTAAAAGAACAACCCCTCCAAACCCAAAAGATGTCATGTCTTGATGTCAGTAGATGTGCATCAGTGGAAATGAACAAGCAATAAGAAAGAAATGTTCTGCGTGTTACTGAGGGAGTGTCTGGTACGTGAATTATTTCCATGTGTTAAGAGGCAAGTTGCCTTTTGGCATGTTTGTGCAGCAGCCCAAGCAGCCTTCTGTATGAGGTGTGGAGAGTCATTAGGACCAATTAGAGGTGGATTGGCTGAGAGCTCCTCTCCATTAGAACTGGACTGCACTGATTTAGCCAACATTTTTTTTTTTTTTTTTCTTTCCATGGATGACTAGGAAAGTTCCTTGCTTTCTGGATCTGGAAGGAATAATAAGAACAAATCTGATAAGATCCTATTCAGAATTTGAATTTTCAAATTCCTCTTTCCTGTTATTCTCCCTTAGAAACTTATGGTAAAGCGCACATGCTTATTGTGTACAGGCCACAGAATGACTGGTGTCCCTGGTTAGGCATTCTTATTCTCCAAGACACAGAGAACACTTCCTTTAACATCTGTATGTATGACAGATGTCGTGTAGTTTGGCACATCAGAACCTTCTGGGAGGGGAGGAGGGATGCACCTGGACGGTTCCAGTGACTGGCAGGGCTGGTCCACATCCTCAGACTTTGTGGATTTATTGTGGTCTACCATGTGTGAATTTGGTTAATAACTCATTAATTTATTAACACCAGAGAACAAAAAACTGAATAAAATAATGGCTGTGTTCCCAGAATGATCTCCCACAGACGGCTAAGTGAATCTAGTAAACAAAATAAAATAACACAGAAAGCAAGGGTATCATTTGGTCTGTACTGATGGTAGCCTCTAAAATTTCATCTTCTCTTTTTAGTGCCTCGGAGACCAGGTAACTATCCAGCCAGGTTTTTTGTAGTAGTTGGTATTGGGTTCAGTGTTGCCAAAGCAGCCATTTTGTAATAACGGATGACCAGGAGTCTGTCCTGGGTTAGGTTTCATCACAATCACAGGGCTTCTTTGGGGAAGATTTTATTTTAGTGCTACATGGATAGAGCTGACTTCAAGAGAGTGGCAATTAAGCTTTGTATACAAGGTGAATATTGATATTTTTCTTAAAGTTAGCAACTTTTTGGCTTATTTAAAAAATTATGAAGTTTTTCATACATTTAAGGTAATTTTGATAATATATATAATAACAAAATGACACTCATCATCACTGCTCAGTGCAAAAACTAAAGGATTACTGAAAAAGGAGTTCATATCAACCCTACGCATGTGACTCTCTTTCCTGTTCTCATTTCCTTTACCCCATGCACTTTCCCAGGAAACTGCTTGTTCATATTTTCTAAGTATCTGTGATTGTATGAACAGCACATCATTTAGTTTTGCATTTGAAAGTTTTACATTACAACATCTATTTTTCTATAATTTGCCTTCCTAGCTCTGAATATAGTGTGTGGCAAATGCTGTTTATTTGTTAATGACAATGTGCTGTGTATAGCAAGGACTATAAATTCAATGAAGTAGCTGGAAACAGACACACAAATTGATTGAATTCTTGATAAATGGAATCTGTGAGAAAAGAATAATGGTTCTGGGATAATTTGTATGTGAACTAAAATTAGTGGCTGGTACTTTCTAAAAAGTAGTACTTTTATAATGGATTATTATGACGGACTTTGGATTCAAGCAGACCTGGATTTAAATTCTCTTTTATTAGGAATATTATTATTATTTTGCCTTTGGAAAAAGTTAGATGAAAGTTATTCTGAAAAAGTTTAGGTGAAGATATTGAATGTATTTTGGATTTGAATACTATGTTTTCAATGAATAGCTCATGACCTGCCCTGGGAATATTGCTCAGACTGAAAACACTCTGTCCTTGGGGTTCTGGTAAGAGGATTATGGTTGATGGTGATGTGTTACATTTTCTTCCCATTTTCCTTTGATTTTCTTTCCTTTTTTAAACAGTTAAATTTGTTGTTAACTGGTGTATAAAAATTGTACTTATCTATGGGGTACTATGTGATAGTTTGATACATATATACATTGTATAATATTTAAATCAGGGCAAACATATCTGTCTTCTCAAACATCATTTTTATATGCTGAAAATATTTAAAATCCTCTCTAGTTTTTTGTCTAGTACTGGGGATTTAACCCAGGATCTTTGCACTGAGCTACATCTTTGGCCCTTTTTTATTTTGAAACAGGGTCTTGCTAAATCATTAATTTGTCCAGGTTGGGCTTGAACTAGTGATCCTCCTGCCTCAGCCTTCCACAGTGCTGGGGTTACAGGTATGCGCACCACACCCAGCTTCTCTCTTGCTTTCTGAAATACACATTAGCTTATCATTATAGTCACCTTACTGTGCAGTAGCACACCAGGGCTATTGCCTGACTTATCATCCCCTCCTTATCCAGCTTTCTCAGCCTGTAGCAATCACTGTTCCACTCTCAGGCCTCTTTCCTTTCAAGAAATATAGTATCTGTAATGGGAGCTCAATTCAGTTGGCCTGGATGAATGGGTTCAGGGGAATTTGTGCCTCCAATTCTTGTTCTCCAGCTGTTTCATTGGTGTTCTTTGGAACAACCGAATTCTCCCTGTGTATTTCTCATCCAACCCACCATGGACTGTAGATAGCATACTGTACTGGTTAATATTATCACTCTGACTCACCTTAAAGGCTCAAATTTAGGAGTCATTGACCTCTGGAAGGCTTCCCTGATTTTTCTCTGTCCTCTATTAGGGACATGTTTTCTGTGGATATGTTTTTAAAAATTCTTCATCAAAGAGCTTCTTCTCAAATCTCTTATTAAAAAAAATTGTAGAGATTTTTTTTTAGCCCTATAACCTATGTTTTTAATAGCTTTTATTATTATACTGCAAATCTTGTCTATTTGCTGTCTTTCTCACTAGGTTGTGAGTTCCTTAGAAGAGTGATCACACCCATTCCTGAATTCAGGAGATGCAGCTACTCAATACATTTTTCTGCATGATTGGATAAACAATACTTAAGATATGAATGGCTCTTTCCTTTTTAAATACTTTATGAGGAACAGTCATTACTATTTACGTCTATGAGTTGTTAACTCTCCTAAACACTGGAGCCAGAGAGCCCTGTGGGATGGGGAGCCAGCCAGGCGTGGTGGCGCACGCCTGTAATCCCAGAACTCAGGAGGCTGAAGCAGGAAAATTGTTACAAGTTTGAGACCAGCCTGGGCTACAAAGTGAGCTCAAGCCCAGCCTGAACTGCATAGCAAGACGCTGTCTCAGAAAGACAGAAGAAAAAAAAGAGTGAGGAGCCAAAATAAGACATGGACGCAACACTTGGAAAGCATACACTGCCCTCAAGAAATGGCTGGAGCAAAACAAGAAAAACAAAAGAACAGAGCTGCAAACCCATACCTCAGATGAGGACACCTGTCTGAACTTTTTAAAGCCTGAAAAGTTTTGAAATTCGTATTTGTGGTTTAACTGAAAACCTTCTAAACAAATCTGGGAGAAATCACTTACATTTCTGATGAGCTATTTCTATTATCCCAACAGTGATTTCTGTGAAGGGAGATGTTTTAATAGAAAAAAAACACTTAAAAACCATTGTTTGACTATCACTTCTGTAAGAGGTTAGACTATTTATTTTCTTTAAAGAATAAAGAAGAGAAACGCAGGATGGATTACAAATTTACCCAGGAGACAAATGGCGGTGTCAGGTTGTACACGATCGATCTCTCTCAACAAGGTAATAAGCTCCAGGGCACTGTAATGCATTCTGGCGCTGGCCACTGTAGCCCTAGTGCCGCTGCAAGATGAGATACTTTAGACCATGAGTCAAAGTTAATGTCTCGCGAGGCATGACACTTTTACTTATTTCAGTAAGATACGTTATATGTCTACCCATATTGGTAGCTGCACAGTTTGTATAGCTAAATCTTGGAACAAATCCAAATGCCCATCAACCAGTGAATGGCTAAAAAATAATGTGTGTGTTTTTTAATACAATGAAGTACTACTCAGCAATAAAGAAGGATAAACTTGAGACATTTATAGCTAAACGGATGCACCTTGAGACCATAATCTTCAGTGAAATAAATCAGACACACATGTAAATATCACATTGTTTTTCTGGTGTGAGAAACAAAGTGTAAATAAGAACCAAAATTTATAATAGATATTATAGGAAGAAATTGTTCAAAAGGGAAGAGAAACAAGTGGGGTGAGGAAGAAAGGGAAAAGATAAAAAGGATAGAATGGAAACAAAGCTTTGCCAATAAGGAGGGGAAGAGGGGGTTGAAGGGAGGGGAGAGGAATGGGAAAAAAAGAGGAACTAAGATATACTTCATGTAGAAGTACAAGTTCACTATGATGAATGTGACCTTATGTATACCTAAACTGTACCAGTCAACTTAATTTAAAAAATGCTTCTGGGGATTAGCAGCTGCCTTCCTGTGATTTTTTTTTTTTTTTTTTTTTTTTTTGTGCCAGAATCCGTCTCAGGACCTCATGCTTGCCAGGCAGACACTGATCTATTGAGTTATATCCCTGGCCCCTTTCTGTATCTATTTTAGGGTATAACTGAATGATACTTTCACATAGGCCTGCCCTCCCTTTTGGGTAGTTCTGTCTGTTCTGGAGAACTGTCTTGAACAAGAGAGGAGGAAGGGGAACTAACTGCATCTAGGGATGAGTTTGGGTCCTACTTGCATAGCTTGTTTAGGGCATAGAATCCAAGGTGAACTCCAGAGGGTTCAGGGAAGTCAATGGACTGACAAGCCAGTCTGTTTTTCCAAAAAACATGCCAGGAGCCAGACGATATCCACTGAAGAGGATCATTAATAAATGAGCGGTATCTTTTTTTTTGTTGTTGTTGTTGTTCTTTGGTTTTTCTCCGGTACCTGGAACCGAACTCATGACCTTGCGCTTGCCAGGCAGGCGCTTTCCCGCTGAGCTAAATCCCCAGCCCCTAGTGAGTGGTATCTTTCATGTGCAAAGTTTAAAGCATCAGTGAATACTTACCTGCAGAGCTGTGAGCCACTTTAGGTTGTATCCATAGTTCATATAAAGATAAAATGAATTTTGGCAGGTTTGACCTTGTCATTCAAAGGGAGCCTTAGGATCCAGGTACACACCCCAGGTTCCAAGTCTTCTCATCCAAAATAACCACAGTGTAGAAGGGGAGGCTGAGGATAGTTAATGTCATTATTAGCTTTATGACACCAACTGGCTATTATTTTGCACAGTGAGGATTCCACAGAGTAAAGAGGCAGAGTTTCCACCCTAGGACCTTCCAACTCAGTTGGGAGATTAATCTCATGTGTGAAACCATGAAGCACAAGATACAGGCCTGTTCTAAGCGCCAGACCAAAAACACAGGCAAGGAGACTAAGGAGGGGCTGTCACACAGGCTGTGGTGGGCAATCAGGGAACATTTTAGGGAAACAGACCTCATGTTGGGCTTTGACGTCAGACAGAACTGGAGCCTGGGGGCTGGGAAGGTGATTTCCAGGCTGAAAGATGAGAAGGCATGGGGAAGTGTTGGAATAAATTTGGGTGCCAGAGACCCCTGATTGTCAGGAGCAGAGGCCTTTATGGGATCTACAAGTATAAAGTTAGGGAGGGTAGGGACACCTTGAGTGAGTTTTAAAAAATCCCTTTAGAGAGTCTGATCAAGGAAACACTTGTCTTTTCTGAAATTTTTGACATGTAATTTCTTTTAGCTTGAATTAATGGTTTCTGCCTGGCAGTCCTTTCCTTGATTGTTATAATGACCAGCTACAGGTTCTGCTAACAATCTAATTTCCTGCCAATCAGACTCAAAATAGAGACATGGTTCCCCTTGCTCCTCCTCAACAGTGAAATGGTCCATTCTTGGCACATATAGCCTGCAGCAACCCAGGAAAGTACAGATTAGTATAAAAAGGAAGCAGAGAGGACTGTAGTTTGGATGATTTAGAGAAATCAGGGAGAAAGAAGTTTTATGCATCTGATTTTTTATAGTCAATAAAGTATAGTCATTTATTAGTTAACTTCAATTTAAGGAAAGCAGGGATAATGTGAATTACTGTTGCCAAGTTTCCAGAACAAGCCTGAGTACACTGCTCTAGGACTTACATTCATGGTATTAAACTTTTCAGTCATTTACGCATGTTAACAAACTCTGGAACCAGGGATGTGATAGAGCACTTACCTAGCCTTCACAAGACCCTGGCTTTGACCCATAGCACTGAAAACAAACAAACAATCAAACAAACAATCAAGAAAAAACAAAATTTTGCTTTAATTTTCTATCATGCAAGATGCGTGTATTTTATTATGTTACAGAGTTGTACGCCTAGCAGTATTTTATGATGTTGCAGAGCTATTGTAGCCTGTTTTTGAAATTAACTGATTTGATGTTAAAGTTTTAAGAGAAATTTGTGGGGATCAAATTTTAAGTAGAAACATCGATGCGATGGATATTAATTACTAATTTTTTAGTAAAGCTCTTAAGAATTTATTTGTAGGGAAGTTGAAGGAAGGCTGTTAAATGGAAAAAAGAATGCATTTGACCTGGAAATTTTGGGAAGCCCTGTAAAAAAAAATCAATGTGAAGGGGGATGATTTGAAAGGGAAGTAGAAGAAAAGCAAAATGAACAAGTTTTGTTGTTGTTTAGTTTGTTTCTGAGGATGGTAGAAAATACTTAGTTGTATAAGGAAAGTGTTAAAGAAAAAAATGAATAAATTTGTCTATGCTATCACAGCTCTTGAAAACATCTTGTCCTTGTTAAGTTTTTGTCCATAGTCGTGTGTGTGTGTGTGTGTGTGTGTGTGTGTGTGCTTGTGTGTATGTGTGTGTGTGTGGTACTGGGGATCAAACCCAGGAGTGCTCTACCACGGAGTCACATTCCCAGGCCCTTTTTACTTTTCATTTTGAGACAGGGTCTCACTAAGTTTCCCAGACTGAACTCCAACTTGTTATCCTCTTGCCTTAGCCCCTCAAAGTGTTGGGATTACAGGTATGAGTTACCATACCCAGTTTATAGTCACACATTTTCAAAAACAGTGTTGCAGTGTGGGGTATAGGGAATAAAAGGCATTCTGCTTTTTGAATTTCAGGCGTGTCTGATATGTGTCACTGTTTTGACTTAGTCTTCATAATTACCTTTTATAATTACTCTGTGAGATTCTAGCTGGGGCTCCCTTTCAGTTCTTGCATCAGATTGCTGACTTCTTTGTCTTCTCATGGATAGTTACCATGTCATATCCTAGGGGAAGAGCCAGGAGAAAGTTTGTGGTAAGGATCTTGAAAATAATTGCCTGTAGGTGTTTTTGCTGGGATGTGCTACCATTGGACATCTTGTGCTGCCATCAACCTCCGGAGACTTGGGAGGAAGAGAAACAGGACTGTGGCATGGGAAGAGATGCAGAGGCTGGGTGAGGTAGCTTCCCCACTTGCCCTCAGCCTACTGCTCCTTCTTTCTGACTTTCTATTTCTGTCCATGTTCAGTCTCTGTCTGTACCCATCATTACTTACCCTCTTCTGTCCTGCTTCCTTCTCTGCTTCTCTCCAGACACCTGTCTTCTTTTCTTTTTTCTTTCCTTTCCTTTTCTTTTTTCTTTTCTTTTTTCTTTCTTCTTCTTTCTTCTTTCTTCTTCTTTCTTTCTTTCTTTCTTTCTTTCTTTCTTTCTTTCTTTCTTTCTTCTTTCTTCTTTCTTTCTCTCAGTACTAGGAGTTGAGCCTAGGGCCTCATGTACACTAGGCAAGTGCTCTGCCACTCAGTTTTATCCTCTGCTCTCAATGCCTACTCTACTTATTTTGTGATGTCCCTTTCATTACCCTTAAAAGAAACTTGTAGGTGAGAGAAGCTCAATATATATACTTTAAAAAGTCAGTCTAATTGTGTAGTTATAATATGAAGAAGAAATAAAAGGAAATCTGCTGTGATGTGAATCTGTCCTGTACATCTGTTCTCTGGAGCAGTACTCATTCACTTCCGTCCATGTTCTCTCCCACCTAAGTGCATGCCACCCCTCCATGGAAGATTTGATGGAAATGGACATGAGCCCCGTGAGGCCCCAGAACTATCTCTTCAGTTGTGAACTAAAGGCCAACAAAGATTACCACTTTAAGGGGGATAATGATGAAAATGAACACCAGTTGTCATTAAGAATGGTCAGTTTAGGGGCTGATGCAAAGGATGAATTGCAGATTGCTGAAGCAGAGGCTATGAATTACGAAGGCTTTAAAAATGTCTGTACAGCCAACAGTTTCCTTTGGGGGCTTTGAAATTATACCATCCATTGTCTTAAGGTTGAAGTGTGGTTCAGGGCCTGTACATATTAGCGGACAACACTTAGTAGCTCTGAAGGAAGATGCAGAATCAAATGATGAGGAGGAAGAGGATGTAAAACTCTTAGTTTTGGTTTTTCTCTGGTACCGGGAACTGAACTCACGACCTTGCGCTTGCCAGGCAGGCGCTTTGCCGCTGAGCTAAATCCCCAGCCCGTAAAACTCTTAAGTATATTTGAAATTGCTCAGTGCACCAGATATAAAAATGTAAGATTGATTAAATAATCTAAGACAGTGACAGGTAATAAAAAAATCATTGAAAATAATGCAGAGCTTCAAGATGGCGGGAGTTCAACAATGGTTCTTATACTGCATATTGTTTTCAGATCAGTTGTTCTGATTACAAGATACAAGTGTGCAAAATTGGTGAAGAAAAAAGTAAATTTTAAGTACTGGCTGTTCCTTTCAATAAACCACAGACATCAGTAGTACAATTATTCTAGTTATTCTTGTATATATATATAAATTTTGTTTTTCATTTTAAAGAGAAAAGAAAAAAAACCCAAATAACAACAAATACATAAACAAAATAGCATAGAGAACTACCTAAGCTAGTTTAAATTGTCTTTTTGGTATGGATGATCCAGAGGATCCTGGCTCACCCCACTGCATTTTCATGTGATCTTTCCTTTACCCAGGGCTCCCGATGGTGGTCACTAGTCACATGTAATTTGGAGCCCTGAAATGCGATTAGGCCAAATTGAGATGAAAATGTAAAGTGTGCATTGAATTTCAAAGATGGTATAAAGAAACATGCAAAACATCTCAATAATTTTACTTAAAGTATATGTTGGGATGATATTCTTTTGGATATAGTGGATTAAATAAAGTCTATCATTAAAATTCACTTTATTTCTTTTTTTAACCTTTTCAATATGGCTATAAGGAAATTAAAAATTACATATATGATCCACATTCTATTGTTTTGGTAAATATTGTTCTGGAGTATCTGCCCTCAACCTTTACATCTTCTCAGTAAAATTTTCTGGTTATTGAGCCTGGTTAATTTCCTAAACTCATACCTAAAAATTCTAGTTAATGCCACTACATTTCCACATGATTCTATTTGATGATTGCATTTCCTTTATGCAGTTTGCAATTTATAAGAGTTCAGTTCTGCTACTTGTGAGTGAGATTTGGCAGTGAGACAGAAAGGATTTCAAACAACACTCAAAGGCTCCATGTTAGTTCCTCTTTGCACCTTGGTCTAAGTGATAAGTGGTGCTGAGCTTCAACAGTCTCACCAATGTGCTGCTGATTTCCAGCCAGCAGATTATAGCATTTTTCTGTGAGAAGAGAAAGTCTATAATCTCTGCCTTTCATGCCACTGACATTCATTAGTGCTTTTCAAAAAGTCAGTGGCACAGATTAAGGACCTCAAGTTGCAGGTGCAGGTTCTACCAGGTTTTAAAGAGATGTTGATGGAACGGAGATTTTATGTGGCTGTCAGCACCTCCAGTTTAGTCATTGAGAGTAATTGTGGGGTTCATTAACATCAGACATCTCTAAATTATAGTTTGACACCTCATACAAATTAAGTCCCTATTAACCCCTGGAGAGGTCTGGGGGTAATTGGGAGAGAAGGAGCAGCCTGGCACACACATGCACGCACACACATGCACACACACACACACACACACACATTTATGTATATGTGTGTATGCATGCTCCAAAATTTTCCTCAATTCTAGAAATTAAGGGCTTCTGAATGTGCATGTATGGACCAGAAAATGAAGTATCCACTTGTTCAGAGGACGTTTGTTGGGGTTATAAGCATTTACTGAGAGACCCAAACCTGGGCTGAGTGCACCCATCAGCACACTCGTGGGTGTGTCTGAGGTTGCAGAGGGTAACAGTCACTATCAGAGGACCCATGTGCAGGAGCCCACAGGCTCACTAGCCTAGAAGAAAATGGGAAAGGGCTAGAAGATTTTGCAGAAGAATCACATGCAATGAAAAGAACATAGAACATTGAATGATTGAGCTGGATTTGTTCCATAGTACCTGACTTGTAGAAGCCATTAATTACTAGATGCTATGACTTCAGGGAGGTTAGTTAGCATAATTTCCAAGCTTATGAAATAGTAGTGATGCTAATAAAAGAACTTACAGTTTGAGGATTTGAGATGATCTATCTCAAAGCAAGTTTATTAACAGAAAGTAATTTTATAAATATCACCTAACTTCCTGACTAATAAATACATTGGTTATAGGAGTTTCTCATTTATAACATAATATGTGCATACATGTGGCAATCTTCCAAAGTTTTGAACACCATAAAATACACTAATAGTAAAATTCCACTGAAAATTTAATATTCTTGAATGGCTCCTGAAGGTTTTGGCATATTTTATAATTTTAAATTGCTATTCTAATTACTCCAGTAGATATGGAGAGTAAGATAATTAGGGACAAGCAAGAAAGAATTTTCTATAAAGGTTTAAAAATAGACTGTTACCTTTATGAAGTTCATAGATCCTCCTATGATAATCCCTAATAAAAGCCTAATGCCCACCACCATATACTTAAAAGATTCCCATCAGTGCTGTGTGAGGCCAGACCTCAGAGTCTGATCTGAGTTCAAGACAGTGATAGCGATGCCTGGGATTTGGTTGAAGTTTGCTCTTAATTCATTTTTTTCTTACAGCTGCTAATCAGCAGTCAAAAGTGCATACATCACAGGCTGTACATGAGTGGATAGGGTCTCTATTGCTTTTCCTCCATATTTCATGGAAGTGTCTCCAAGTTAGACGGCCTTGCCCAACCTTTCAGAGTAGAAAGTCTGCCAGTTTGTAAGAGCACAGAATCAACAACTCTTGTACCGCAAAAATATCTTATTTGGGCGTACAGTGCAATACTTTGCACCAGATAAAGAAGAGTCTGTGGGGTCTGTGTTTTGGGGGTTGAGGTTTGTGCTGGGCCAGGGCTCAGGAAATGTACTCTGCCTGACCATGACTTTCCTCACCCTTACAAGTGGGCAAAGTCTCTTCAGTGCTGCCTATGTGGGCTTCCCATATCCAAATCACATGCAGGATTCAAGCTCTGATTCACACTCTGTTCAGATAAAACAGGTAGATAAAGAGCAGCAGCACCAAATATTCCAGCATTAAGGAGTTACTTCTTGGATTAATGTCCTTTTTTGTTAGTTCTGATGGTCTCTAGCATCAAGAAAATTCTATCCTATAGAGGAAATAAGACATGCATCCTAAACTTAAATTATCAGTGAACATTTACTTATAACTCATTGCACATGCAATCCATCATGCACTATAGGGAAGATGTAGTCTCTTACTGTCTTCAATGAGCCTACTTTGTGGGATTGGATTAGTCAGATGCCAGAATAATTATGATTAAGGGTGTATTATGACACATGACGTGAAAGAGGCACAAAGTAAGTGCCCTGGGAAGGAGAGCGGGATGGTCATATATTTGTTCAGACAGGGCTTAAGGGGAGAGGAAAATAAAATTCATAAAGAAAGTATATTCGAAAGACTGCACGAGGGAAGATGGGGATGACAGGAAAGCAGTGTTGTAGAGGCATGAAATCACAAGCCATATTTAAGAAAGAATAAGATAAATGAAGCCTAAAGTAATGTGTGGAGGGGAAAGTTTGGAGTCAGTGGGGATCCCTGAAGATTGTTAAGTGAGCAAGTAAGAGAGGAGCTAAGCTCTGGGAAGATGATTGGGTACAACTCATAAAGATGAGCTGGCGTGGTAGACATAGTAGGTGAAGAGATCGACTTAGGAAGTCAATGAATATTTAAAGTAGAGGAGAAAACAGTTTGATATAGGAGTCATGTAAAGGTAGAACCTATGTTATTTGTCAATTTGTTAGAAAATACATTCTAGTAACACAATTTAAGGTGAAGAATCACCAACATTTATTGTGCCCTTTGTATGTACCAGACATGGTGCTAACTGCCATTCTTCTTTAATTGTCATGGTGACATTTTCTGGCAGGGACTTTCATTATCCACACATTGCTGGTGAGAAGCAGCATTTTCTAGAGGAGAGGTTGCTGGCTAGGGTTCTTGGCTTTCAAAGGCATAGTCTCATTGGAGCCAACAGCAGGCAAAATGCAGAGCTGCAAAGCCACAGGCTACACTGTCCCTCAGTGCTGCAGTCTGAGAGACCGTGCCCCTGCCAGTCGTTTATGCCCTACACAAAAATGATCATGACTTGCTGCTACAGGTAGAGTCAATGATGTTTTCCATATTTCAGTGAATATTTTAAATAATGGATACTGTATTATTTATTTCTCTTCTATTGTCATTTCTGTTTTCATTTTATTTCTCTTTCATTCATTTCCATTTCATGTGTGTGAAGCTTTTCTGGTTCATCTTGACACTTGTTACTTCAAATTTTGTTGCAGATAATGAAAATACTGAGACTTCTTCTTTTTTTTCATCTGTGCATTTGGTCTCTGCCAGTGGAAGCCTGCCTTCTTCATTCTAGTGAGCTCCCATAGCACTTGGCTCTGGAGAGAGATGTCCTGAGTTTCATTTCCAGCTCTGTCCACTATTAGCTGTGTGCTTGTGAGAACGTCATTCAATCTCTCTGTGCCCAGTTTCTCCTCTACGGATGAAAATAATACCTCTTTATAGGAAAGTTGAAAGGATTATTGCCACATCCAGTACAGCTCTTGAGAAACTCCTGGGAGGAGGATCGTGAAGAAATGAATGCAAGAGTGAAAATGCAGAAAGCTGAGGTCAGATGGAGCCCTCCCTCCTGGTGGAGAAAAAGAACCTCTCAATGATGGTAGCATGTTTATTTATCACTCATTAATGTCAAGTGAAACCCCTCTGTCTAACAATTTGTTCACCTGGCTTGCTTTGGGCACTTTGTGCCCAAAACTACTCTGAACTACTCTGTTCTAGGGGCTGGCCTTGCTCTAGCACTGCATGTGTGATCAATCTTCTGCTTCAGCTGCTCCCAACAGGTTATGTGAGGTGTCTTCAAACCCTCTTAAAAGCACCTATCCAGAGTACTACATTTGATACTTGTTATCTGATTATTTGTGAGCTGATAATTTCTGCAGCTCAGGCTTTTTTAGGCTCTTGGTTGGATTTCATATTCCCAACATTCCAGTCTGCCTCCTCCAGCACTGCTTACACTGGTCTCATTAGCTTTTATAATGTCAAATGTCATGAGAACACAGTTCTAAAGCATCTTCCTTTGCTTTCCCCAAGGCTTTACAGCTGGTGTAGGAGGTAATCTGTTTTAACTGATAATAGGCTGAATGCTGAAGTCACACAGAGACAGGCTCAAATCCTGGTTTTATCGTTTAGCCATTATATAGCCTTAGACGAGTTGCTCATCTTCCCTTTATGAGTTAAGGTAATGCCAGTTCTTTTTTTTTTTTTTTTTTTTTGGTTTTTCTCCGGTACCGGGAACTGAACTCACGACCTTGTGCTTGCCAGGCAGGTGCTTTTGCCGCTGAGCTAAATCCCCAGCCCCGTAATGCCAGTTCTTTGACAAACCTTCAAAGCACAGGCTGGGTTCAGTAGAAATTTGTTTCTAGCAAAGAGAGAAGCAGGTGCTACAGAGCAGCAGGGTGATGCAAGACTCTAGGCTGTCCCTGCTCAGCACCCGAGTTTCAGGTCTGCCTTGCAACAAGAAAGAACGTGGTAGAAGAGGATATGGGGCAATTTCCAAGGCTCAAACTTGGAATGGTTGACTTTACATCTGCTCAATTGCATTGGTCTAGGACTTAGTCAGATGGCTTCACACAACTTCAAAGAAGGCTGGGACACTGTATCTATGAGCTCTAAGAATAACAGTGCAACTTCTCAGGCTACCTTGAACCTTAGTGGCTTTTCAAACGTTAAGCACCTGTTGTCACCCTCAGAGTTCTGTAGGTTGACTGTAGCCTGACTGACCTAGGCTGGGATGCTCAGGACAGCTCTGTCTCAGTAATAAGCCTTGCTGAGTTTGTTCTTCACTTCGAAGGGGGCTCATATCCACTCCCCACATGTTCAGGCTGGGGTCCAGGCTCAAGGCAGCAGTTACCAGGACCAACCTCCTCCCAAAGAGATGGCAGAGCCCTCCTTACGTTAGTATAATTTTCTCTCACTTCTTACCTTCATTACATTCACAAGATCCTATTTCCAAATAAAGTCATATTTTGAAGTTCCAGGAGGACATGAATTTTAGGGACATATGTGCCTCTACAGGAGGGCAAATCCAGCTAGGCAAAAATATATATCACATCTGGCTGTATCTCATCGACAAAAGCAGGTCACACAGCCAAACACTGTATTCAGGCACAGGCCAATACATTTCACTTCTAGTGGGATGAACTGCAACATCACAAAGGGCAAAGTGCGTGACTATGGGGTGAGGTGAAGAATTGGGGCCAATAATCCCATTTACCGTGAGAGCATGGATCGCTGGGCCCAGGAGAGATTGGCTAGTGATTCCATCTTGCTCCCAGCTGTCCATATTCTCATCTGCATAAATGAGTCTATTGAGAAGTATATGTCTCATAAGCTTATTGCAATGATTAAATGTTACTATGTTTAAACTGCTTAGCATGGTGTGTGCCACATAGCAGTTAATGTTAACTATTAGGATTCTTATAAAACCTCCATTCACTTTCATTTGCTTCTGATCTATTATTTATGTTTTCAATCTCTTTTTTCCCTAATTTTCATCAACACAAGTAATTTCCATTTTGCCTAATTTACATTCAGTCAAAAAATTCTCCTAAAAAATCCTATAATATTAAAATTTGGAATAAGGGGCCTTTGTTATAAGGAAAGATAACTATTTAGGACATTAGCTATTAAAGAAGTGGAATAGTGGGCAATGAACAAGCCACACAAGTGCTTTGACCTACTGGGAGGGAGACTGCTGTGGGCCGAGGTGTTTGGTGCCGCTCTCATGAAAGTAGTGCGAATTGAGGAGGGCCATTACCTTCGCAGAGCGGAAATGATCCAGCTGAATTTTGAAGCATGAGCTGATTAGATAAGCGCATGGCAAAGGACACTGCGTCATAACCCACGCTGGCCTGTGGGCCCCGGAGATAAGAACACTGTGCTGCGGGACAGGTTCTCAGGCAACAATTGCACTTTCTGTTTGGAATATGAGCCGTTCTATGCTAATGAGTCATGTTTCATCACTTCCGGGAGGCGATGCCAGAGAAGAGACTATTGTCGCACGAAAGCTTTTTATAAACACTGTTTATTTGCTGCACTCTTATGTTTAGCTTTTGTACCAAAATAATCCCTGAATGATGAGTCATTTTCAACCTACATGTCATGCGTAGATTCAGCTATGATGTTTATGCCTGTTTTTTTTTTTTTTTTTTTTTTTTTTCATTTTAAAGAGCCAGTGAACAGTTTTTGCTAAGGTCTCAGGATTTCCTGAGATTCTGGTGAATGCAGGGCTTCAGAGCTGCACTCTGTGCATGGTCTGATGGAAAGATGCTAATCTGTTAAATGCTGGATGGGTCTACTGGGTAGAGTGTGTAGAAAAACCAAACACTGAAAATGGACTTGAGGACTGACTTCTCATCTATTGGCTGTTGACCATCTTTGTAATTCTGAGAACTTTAGGAAAGAGAGAAATAGATTCTTCTAGCTGAACAGTTACCAATCCTTGTTCTAAATGCGAGCTTTTCTTTTAAAATAGGTATGGTTAGTAAGATGGGTTCCTCAGAGAAGCCTGGAGCAGGCATCTATTTGTTCCACAAACTGCTTCCTAACAACAGTAAACTCTTCCAGCCTTGGGAGTTGAGGATGGGCCAGTTAAACAGGAGGTTCTTGCCTAAAGGTAGAGAGGGGCGGCTAAGTTTTGGGAGAAAATGGCCCTGTCCAGCAGAGGACAGAATTGCAAGGTGCCCTTCAGGAGATTTTGCACATGGGTCATTGGAGAGTCGGGAGTCACCTTTCTGCCAATGGGCTCTGGGTGCATGTGATGACAGTATGATTCTTGGCCCCTTCCTCCATCCATGGGTGCATACATATGGGCAGATGCGTATGTGTGGTTAGGTAGCAGGAGGTGAGGAGGAGACCAGGAGACCAGGCATAGCTACTCAGGCCTCTCCCAGTCCGTGGACTTCACTATGGCATGTGGCAGTCACTGTTGCCAAAGGAGACCCATGTTTGTTTTTCAACTGTCTGGTTTCCTCTTCCCAGAACCTTGACTTCTTCAGGAAGCAGATGGAATATAGCAGGTTGATCTTGGGGAGCATAGGTCCTACACCAGCCATATACGAGAAAGCACTGAACTCAGTGAAGGAAATCCCATCCATTTGTAGCCATAATTGGTCTGAGAGTTTTCACATAACCCAGTTCTCACAAACAATATCAGAGGGATCACGGGAAAGATGCAAGAGGAACTGTGCAGGAGACTGTCTCCTTTGGCAGTAACAGGTGGGGAAGAAAGCCTCATGAGAAAGGGCAATTCAATTCTTTTCTTCTCACCTGAAAAACACAGGGAATGCCTGGAGGGTTGGCAACCAGCCACGAGAACTAAAGGCACCTTGTTAAAGAAGTTAAAAGACAAAAAGAACCAGAGTCGATTAGTCTACCTCAAGACTAATTATGTAAGAAAAATGATCCTCTCCGCAGCAGTAAATGTAATCCGTGGTTACCTTCTTTTTCTAACACTTGCAGCCAAACACTTAGCTTCACTGTTGGTTGTTTTCCTAAGCTCTGCAAAAACATAGGATTGCTGCTGATTCAGGGAGAAGGTGGCAGTGTTGGGGAGGAGAAGAAAGAGGTAGTTCAATTAAAGAGTGCCATTCCTCAACCCACCAAGTTCTTATGGTGCTATTCTTCACTTAGATGACAACAAGTGTGACACCAATAGGTGTAAGTACACTGGGCTAAGCGGAATGAGGCCATGAATAGGTTGACAGGTGAAGAATCCTAAAGGAGGCGGGAAATGACTCTCATTGGCAAAATATGAGGCAGGCAAAGAATCAGAGAAAACAGAGAACACAGGAGCCAAGGAAATAAAGAAGATCCTCACATTCTCAGACACTTTTCACCATTCTGTGCATCTCAGATTATGGGAAGCCAGCTACTGAGGATGCAGAAAGTCCAGCAGCCCAAGACCAATGAGCAAAGAGGCTTTGATCCCAATGGTTGGGCATGGATGTCTGAGAATATCTTCTGTCAGCAAGGCAGCAGGACTCCTTGGAGTTAGTGATAGAATGCAGAGTATCGGAGAGGTGATGGCCTGGGAGGAAGGCTGCTTGTCAGTCTTATATACTAACCATGGAATTAAGGTTGATGTATATTATTTTATATGTGTGTGAATATGCATGTCATCAGAGATGATGTGATTAAACTAGGTGTAGAACTCAAGTACCTTGAAGGATCAGGTGGTTTATTGAAATGATCAACACACAAATGCCTCACTTGTTCAATTATTACTGACCTCAAGCTCAATGCTGCCAGAAGGAAAGGGAGCAATTCTCATTGGCCTCCAGCCTCATGTTGCTGAACTTAGATTTTCAAGAGGACCTGAAGAAAATACTGATTTTATGTGAATTTTTCTAATTAAATAGTTGAGAATGATACTCAAGTTTTTAGAATGCTGTGTAGACAGATTAAATAGAGATGAAGATGTACCTGCTGGAAGGTCACCAGTTTACTTCTAGGATGCTATGTGGGAAGCTCTGCAAAGTACTGTTGATAGAAGCAGGCACACACGTAGCCAAGAATCTAGGCGCAAATATATACGAGAGAGACTAAGAGATTTCTAAGAGATTACTTCTCTTAGAAACCTTGTAATAAAGCTGTTTTCACTTTAAAAAATCCCCAAAACAAAATCCAGCAGTTTGCATATTGAGAACAATGATGCATTTAGAGATCTGTTGATAGAGGACTTGGTACAAAAAGGCTGTACTGGACAAGCACATACAAAAAAAGAATCATAAAATATCTGTGACTAGTGGGGGGAGGGATCTGAAATAAAAAGTAGGACAAGGAAAACATAAAACATGAAGAAGACTAGAAAGGATGAGAACGTCTTACTAGTTAATCTAGATGACGTTATTACTGGTATTTTAGGGAAGAAGAATGAAAAGTTGGTTCCACCATTCCTTTGGACTTTTACATAAAGTTCCCTGGTTAAATTTGTTCATGTTTTGACTGAGACTGATATATGGGTGGGTCATAGATGAGCAGGCAGGTAACGAGACTGGATGGGACCCTTCATAACTATCAGAATTAAAGTTCTTGGCACCCCGCTGCAAACTGGGTGAGCCACACCTTGTGTGGGTCTCTCCATTAATTTTTCTCTTCCCAGGTGATGTATGCTGCAATGGATGGGGAAAGCACTTTATTTGGCTAAGTATAATACTCCCAATTTGTAACAAAACAAACAAGGTGGAAGAACTGATAAAATATAATTTGAATTCTTTCATGGTAGCAGTATTTAGAATCAGTGATATGTAATCATTGCATCTTACCCCTGGATCTTCTCTTGTTACAACAAAGCCTGTGGAAATCACCATAACTAAGGCAGCCTGGATGGATCTAGGTCTGGCTCCTGGCAATGGCATTCTTTGTTCTGCAACAGTTATGTGACTACATTTTCTAATGTTTACGGTCACAGTTTTACTGCTCTTTTTTTATTTTAAAGAGTATAATAAAAACAAAAACAATAGTAAAATACACCAACAACATAGACAAAAACAAAGCAAAGCAAAAACAATGAAAATGATACAGGGTTTCTGAACAAAATGATAGGAATTAACAGTGGTTGTTATATTACATATTGTTATGTTTAATGAAGTTGCTCAGATTACCAGATGTAAGAATGCAAGATTGATCAAACCATTAAACAGAATAAAAAATAAAAACAGAAAAAACATTAGAAACAATGCAGAACTTCACTAGACAAGATGACAGGAATTCACCAGTGGTTGTAATATTGCATTATTGTTGTCTTCAAATTAGTTGTTCAGAGTACCAGATATAAGCATGCAAAATCAGTCACAAAACATTAAGCATAATCTGTTCCTTTCAATAATCCATTAGACATCAGCAGTACAGTTATCCCAGCTATCTATCTATCTATCTATCTATCTATCTATCTATTTTCCCTTTCTTCCTTCTTTCTTTTTCTCCTTTCCCTCATCCCAATTGTTCCTTCCATTATTTCTTTCCCTTTCATAATATCTATTGTACATTTTGGGTTTTATGTACTCTTTCAGGTTCTTACGCTAGGGAGACAATATGATGTTTACACATGTGGGTCTGATTTATTTCACTTAGATTTACTTTCTTCACAGGAGTTTAGATGCACAGAAAAACGAGAGGGGTATACAGAAGTGTTCTGTGTGACCCCAAACCCTATACATGGAAAGTCTCTTCCATCATCCGCATTCCATTGTCAACATTCCCAGTTATCAAGCCTCTTCATTATCAACATTGGAGTACTGTACATTCATTCCAGTCAACAAACCTACACTGACACATCCTTATTACCCAAAGACCTTAGTTTACATTAGGGTTCATTCTTGATATTGTACAAGTTGAGCAAATTTGGGATGACATGTATCCACAAATATAGCGTACTATGGAGTAGTTTCATAGTCTATGATCTGTGCTTTACATTTTCTATCCTTCCCTGTCTGTTAACCTTGGGCAGTCAATGTTTCCAGCATTTTCCTCTATCCAGGATGTCATAGTTGAAATCATACAATAGATAGCCTTCTTGGATCATCTACTTCCAGTTAGTAAAATGCATTTGAAGTTTCTCCATGTCTTTTCATGGCTTGAAAGCTCATTTCTTTTGTTTACTGAATAATGTTCCAATGTCTGGATATATTATAGTTTATTTTTCTGTTCTGTAGAAGCACATCTTGGTTGTTTCCAAGCTGTACAATTATGAATAAAGCTTATCTATCTATCTATCTATCTATCTATCTATCTATCTATCTATTCGTAGAGAAGGGTTTATTAGGTAGGCTTATAGGATCAGAATCAAAAAGTCTCAAAGTCTTGTAGATTAGAAACAGAAGAATCCCAGATGGAGGTCTTTGCTGGAGAGCCAGAGGATCTAGTAGTACTTA